GGCCGGGGGGGACGGAGCGGCCGCCGCCGTCGCCACCGCCCCGCCGCCCGCCGACGAGCCCAGCAACCGCAGCCTGCGCCTCAGCGAGCACTGCCAGGCTCTGCAGGCGGCGGCAGCCGGCGCCCAGCCCGGGCTGGTCCCCGGCTGTCGCCCCGCCGAGAGGAGCGGTAGCCAGGCGCAGCCCCCCGTCGGGGAAGAGGAGGAGGAGGCGGCGGAGCCGGCCGGGGGTGCCGGAGCGCGCAGGGGGCCGGGGGTCAGGCCGGAGCGCAGCGAGAAGCTGGCGCTGTACCTGGCCGAGGTGGAGAAGCAGGACAAGTACCTGCGGCAGAAGGGCCGGTTCCGCTTCCACATCATCCCCGACGGCAACTGCCTGTACCGCGCCGTCTGCAAGGCGGTGTACGGGGACCAGCGGCTGCACGGCGAGCTCCGCGAGCAGACCGTCCACTACATCGCCGACCACCTGGACCACTTCAACCCCATCATCGAAGGCGACGTCGGAGAGTTCCTCATCGCTGCCGCTCAGGATGGGGCCTGGGCCGGCTACCCGGAGCTGCTGGCCATGGGGCAGATGCTGAACGTGAACATCCACCTCACCACGGGCGGCCGGCCCGAGAGCCCCACCGTTTCCACCATGGTTCACTACCTGGGGCCCGAGGACCCGACGCGGCCCAGCATCTGGCTGAGCTGGCTTAGCAACGGGCACTACGATGCTGTGCTGGACCGCCTGTACCCCAACCCGGAGTACGAGGCCTGGTGCAGACAGACTCAGGTACAGCGCCGACGGGATGAGGAGCTGGCCAAGTCCATGGCCGTGTCCTTGTCCAAGATGTACATTGAGCAGAATGCCTGCTCTTGAGACCGCCGGGGCCGCGGGCTGGGAGCTTTGCTGCAGGGACTGAGACAGACAGACAGACAGACAGAAGGTGTGCTGGCTGTGATGGTGATGATGCCTTAATCCTTAACGAAGCAGCAGCAGCAGCACCCCAGACTGCGAAGGACTGTAGACTGTGGGGGATAAGTACAAATGTGTTTGTAATATTCTGTTGTAAAAACGTAGCCTCGGAATATTTGTAGGCAGATTTCTCCGTGTATGTTTGTGTCTCTTCTCCCCACCGTCTTCTCTCTTTTCTATAAGAATGTATTTTTTTGCACAATATTTTTAAACTGTTACCTCCATCTTCTACATCTTACATTAGTATCTGGCTTTCAGCTGTATGGCCAAAAAAACCGTTTGTAAACAGTTTTTGTAAATAAGGCTTATGATGTAACAGCTATTTTTTGCTGTGTTTTTTACCCATAAAGCTTATATTTTTACCAAATGAAGTTGATGTCAAAGTGACCCTCCCGAACTGATGAAAGCATCGTGGGTATTTCCTTTGCAAACCTGAAACAATGGTTTTTGTAAAAGTGCAGCAAAGTATGAACAGAGTGCTTTCAGAACAGTTGCTTTCTCTGCCTGGAGCACAGAGCAGGTCCTTTGAGCCAGTTGGAATGCAGCTACACGTGAACAGTACAGGGAGCAATTGAACTCCTCTGTATTTCGTTACTGTTTTGAGTAAACTGGCCTCTTGTTGCCTGGTTGGCTCACCCTCTGCTCCATTTATGTTATTTATCTGTAATAACAGAACATTAACTTGCAATAGAATGTTGTGACTAGATAATAGTCTCCTGCTTTGGCAATAATTGCCTTGGCTGCCACCTCGGTGTTTGTGTTCTTGTTTCTGGGGTTGTGGTGTCTTTTGTATAAGCCCTGCTTCTTTTTTGGCACTGGTGTTGCACCAACAAATTTTTATCTGATCACAACATTTTATTCACTTGATGTTATTTTCTATTAAAGAAATCAGGAATGGTGTTCTACATTATGGTTTTAAAGAAAAAAAAAAAGTATTTAAATTGAGGTTTGTATGGTTTGCTGGGTCAAACATTTAAATGTTTCCAATCTGAATTCTGTCTCTTCTACTTTCTGATTAACTTGTTAGATATATTTATTAAGTAATGCAGTTTGTACTTTTTTATTTTGTAATATATTGTGATTTTGGAATTTATACTGTATTTGTATAATAGGAATATTCACAGCTAAAATGGAATGAATAAAGAGTATAATTTTACTTGTGCTCTTTTTTCCACCCTTTGCATTCCTTGTATAGTGAAGAACGGCAAATGGGTTCTCAAGACCCTTTATTTAGCTTTTAAGGTTTCCCCAATTAAGAAGTGGGAAGAAGGGGCATGGTACTTTACAGTGGTGAACCACTGATAATGTGTGAGTGTGTGAAAGAAATGTGAGCATTTAAAGACAATACCTGTAATTCTTTTGTAGCTATAAGGGATATTAACGTATCTCGTTATCAATGAGAAACATTTCTTTTTTATATATAATTAATATGCCTTAGAAGAGGGGTTCCCAAACATAGTACCTGGGCTGGTAATACCAGTGGTTGGGATCAACCAGCTCCTGCTGGGCTGTGCACGCTTGGGCTTGGACTGCAGGAATTGGGAATCCTTCTGCAGCCAGCCCCAAAATTGTTTTGGATTTGCCCAGTCGCCAGTGGTACCTTGGCAACTCTCTTGTTACTTGAATAGAGGTAGTGTCATAAGGAAATACAGCTTTTTTGCTCCCCTTACAAGACAGAAATGCTTTGCAAGTTGTTAAACGGTACTCTGTGTGTGCATGCATGCACAAATCGACCCCGATCTCTTAAAAATACTAGCCAGCCATCCTTAAATGACAGAAGGGTACTGGGTTAAAATCAGGATTAAAAATGAACCAAATAGCTGAAATGCAGCAGTCTTAGTTGAGCACACTCCTGATAAAGAGCAGTAGGATGGGTCGTGTATATTTGGTACTGAGAATAGATTTCAATAAATTTATTATGTTATTTCCAAAATGCAGACTACGTTTTCCCCCGTTTTCTTCAGACACAATCCTGCTTTTTCATTAAAGGTCAAATAGTGGTGGAAAAAACCAGTCTTGCTAGTCCACTATTGCTTAACTTCACTGAATCTCTGGAAAGCTGAGTTCTGAGGTGAGGGCAAGGCAAAGATGCAGACATGGATGTGTTCATGAGGAACAGAGATAGTTAATGAGGAAAACTGCGTCTCAGGTGGCTGTAAGCATCAAAATAATACAGCATCACTAAGTACTGATAGTGTGCTTGCTTGATTAAAAGCTTTGTATCCAGACTGCTCGGGTTTTGAGTTGGATATAATGAATTTGTTCAAAGTTATCAATATTCCAAACTTTTTTTAAAAAAACACATTTCTTATAGGTCGTTTGAAATTACCATTTTCAGCTATATCATGAATTGTGATTACAGATTTTGTTTGTGTTTTGTGGCACAAACCTTAGAAATGCTCATAGAGTAAACTAAAGGAAGGAGGATTGATATTGCATAGTGTTTACTCTGTGAGATACAATTTATATATAAAATATCAACCAAAAAGTGTGAAAAATGAACAGCGCAGCACCCTGGGATAAGTTCCCACAGGGTTCTTCAGCAATTTTGATGTTACTTCATGAGTCACAAGGGTGTGCAGATAACTTTAAGGAATTTGAAAAAAACTAGGTTACTTGTGGAACGAGTTTGCAAAGACGTTGAGGATGTATTGGTGAAGCATGCAGCAAGGTACTTGTTTTTGTAGCTTGCCTTACATAGTGTTTCTATTCTAAAAGGAAATGACAAAAATGTCATGTCAGACATTTCAGAGAGTTAGAGGAGGCCTAGCTAAGAAGTAAAATCACTGAACAGAAAGTTGGTTCTGTTTTACCTTAAAGCGGGGCACAGGCACATGGAGAGTAAAAACTTTTTAAATAGCTCTGGTGTTTGAAGTCCAGCTGAGACACTGAGTTTAAATGCAAGCTAGTGGTGTCTTGCCTGAGTAGTGGTAGAGGCAGTTTTATAGTGATAGAGGCAGTGATTCTAATATGGACAAAGCTTTACAAAACTGCTTGTAACGTTGTTGCTTGCCCCCAGCAAAAGCAAGTTTTCCCTTACTGTCCCCTGTTCAACAATTCCAATAATGAGGGAAGGACAAATGTTGCCCTTGCTCATAATTTCAGTACCCGATTATTTTAACCTTGGCTAATCACTTGCGTAACCAAGCTAATCCTTAGACCTGCCTGGGGACCTTGGTCAACAGACTCTTTATTATTTGCAATAAGAGAAGGAGAGCTTGATTTTCAGTATTTGGTTGGTTGGTCCTTTAAGTCAGGTAGAAAACGCTGTAATTCTGAACACAAAACTTTGTGATGCCATCTTCACTTGCATTTTACGATACAGTTGTGAATTAGCTGGCTTTTTGGATGCTTCATTTCAGCAGTTTCTTAGGTTGCCAAGACTCTCATTCTGACACTAAACGTGCAAGGGACACGTTAGCATTTTCACGCGTGTTGAACAGACTCTTTACACACAGCGAGGTTTGCAGGAGCGGAATTGGTTGGTTTGTGCAATGGATGCATCCTAAAATAAGGGTTGTGGGCGGGTGGGAAAGGGAAGATTTATGTAAATGTCATTGCTTTCCATCTCAGTCAATGATTTTCTTTTCAGAAAGCTCGGTGGATGACTGTACTTAGTAACTTAGGATGCGTAGAAGTTGCCTCTTGCTGGCTACTGGGTTTACATGTCCTGCTGTACTTGGCTGGTACGTTACATGTGTACAAAATAAATCTGTGACATTAATGTCACTTGTTAATAAAGGTGTATTTCAGGACGCCTTCTACATGTACAAAACCATGTGCGTCCAGATGGTTCTTCTGTCTGCTTTTGCTTTTATTATGTCAGAATTAGTTGATAGGATTTTTGAGGTTAAAATTCTAATTTTGGTTTAGTGGCTTGTCAATGTTCACATAGATGACTTCTGAGTCCAAGCAGAATACAATGACAAGTATCTCACAACAGGGAAAAGTACTTGGCATTAACTGTTTTTTGCTTATTTTTTGCTTATACTCTTTTATACATATTTAACAGTTTATTGATATTCACAGATAAGTGTTCCTAGAATGTTGGTGCAAAATGGTACAAAATGAAAAGAACCTCAGCTTTGGTGTTAAAAAAATTGTCCCATTTCTGAATGGCATGGTTGTATAAAAGTGTGCAGGACACAGAAAGGTTGTGAATAACCTTTTGAAAGGGCATTGGCTCTGCTGAACACAATTCTGTAGTCATTGGGACTTCTTTAAAGAGCAGAAAAATTTCACCTTTATACTTAATAATAATATATAGGCTGATTTATAACATGTACACGTGCATTTCAGTTGAAAAAAAGTGGTTTTCATATTTCCTGTTGAGTTTTAATTTATAATGTCTCTTTTTTTAAAATTCAAGTTTATATTATTAATGGATAGAAAGATATAGCCATGCAGTAATTTTTCAGTCATTTTTTTCCAGAGTTAGTATTTAAAACCTTTTTTTATACAAGGAAACCCATTCATGGTATTCAGACTACAAATTGATAGAAATAAACCACTGACAAGTTCCAGGTTTCTGTTGCACGAGTGGTTATTATTCCGTCTCCTCATACAATTGTCCTCAAGGCTGAGTAAGATCAGGCTTCTCTGGACAAAACGAGAGCACGCAATTGTAGCAGCATGGTGCATGAATCACAGGATCATAGAATGGTGAGAGTTGGAAGGGACCTTAAAGATCATTGAGTTCCAACCCCCCTGCCCTGGGCAGGGACATCTCCCACCAGACCAAGTTGCTCAAAGTCCCATCCAGCCTGGCCTTGAACCCCTCCAGGGATGGGGCATCCACAGCTTCTCTGGGCAACCTGTTCCAGTGCCTCACCACCCTCACACTAAAGAATTTCTGTCTAGTATCTAATCTAAATCTCCCCTCTTTCAATTTAAAACTGTTATCCCTCGTTCTATCACTACACTCCCTGACAAAGAATCTCTCCCAATCTCTCCTGTAGACCCCCTTCACCCTCTGCCTTTGACAGTGTCATTGGAATGAACTAACCTAAGGAAAAGCGCTCCTTTTTCGGTGGAATTTGGCATTGATCTGACTGGTGTGGGGAAGCGACAGGTGACCGTTGCTTCCCAGGCATGTACACACATAGAAGTAATCTTTCCTGCGAGATCTTAAATTTGGTGTTTTCTGTGTTTTTGGTGAGTGTTTTTAAGCCGTTATGCTGTTAATTCGTGTTTTGTTTCCTGCAGTTTTTGCTGGAGGCTGTAGGAAATAAGCCGTTGTGTCCTTCCCACCAGGCACGGTTAGTTGCATTGGAGCCTCCAGCGCTGCGGCACAGTTAAACTGTGTGAAGAGTGGTGTCTGCAGTGAAGATGACTACTGTAGGAGGGGAGGGGAGCTGGGAGATGGTTGTGAAGGAGCCCAGGTTGTCTTCTATCTTGTCTCCTATATTCATAGAATCATAGAATCGCCCAGGCCAGAAGGGACCTCCAAAGGCCATCTAGTCTGACCTCCCCACAGTCAGCAGGGACATCCCCAACTAGACCAGGTTGCCCAGGGCCTTGTCGAGCCTCCTCTTGAGTATCTCCAGGGAAGGGGCCTCAATCACCTCCCTGGGCAACCTGTTCCAGTGCTCCACCACCCTCACAGGGAAGAACCCTCTCCTAATCTCCAGTCTAAATCTGTTCCCCTCCAGCTTGAAGCCATTGCCCCTCGTCCTGTCACTGCAGGCCTTTGTAAACAGTCTCTCCCCAGCCTTCCTGTAGGCCCCCTTCAGGTACTGGAAGGCCGCTATTAGGTCTCCCCGGAGCCTCCTCTTCTCCAGGCTGAACACCCCCAGCTCCCTCAGCCTGTCCTCGTAGCAGAGGTGCTCCATCCCCCTGATCATCCTTGTGGCCCTCCTCTGGACCCTCTCCATCAGGTCTCCATCCTTCTTATATTGAGGGCTCCAGACCTGCACACAGTACTCCAGGTGAGGTCTCACCAGAGCAGAGTAAAGTGGCAGAATCACCTCTCTGGACCTGCTGGCAACACTTCTATTGATGCAGCCCAGGATGCGATTGGCCTTCTGGGCTGCAGCTGCACACTGCCTGCTCATGTCCAGCTTCTCGTCCACCAGCACCCCCAAGTCCCTTTCCTCAGGGCTGCTTTCCAACACCTCACCCCCTAGTTTGTATTGGTGGCGAGGATTGTTCCGGCCC